CTATTACGTGGAAATTTAATCAGATGCTTGAAGGAGCAGAATTTGTTACAAATACTTCTTATATTAAGATGCATTATTAAAAAATCGGTTTTTACGTCCATATTGTGTGGGTCTTTTTTGAACTCATGTGGAAGATAATAATCACACTGCATCATTTCAGTGTCGAGGCATGTGTCTATTTGTGAATCATTATTGAAGACTTCCGGACCTATATGTTGATTGAGAAAAAAGGAATTGAATTTCAATCTATTTAGTCTATCCATATCTGTATCGCTGAATACTTTTTTTATGGTGAAATGCCGAAACTTTAGAACTAATAACATTTTGTGAAAGAAAATTTTTGTTACTTTCTGTTATTTGTTCCATAGTTGAATGTATATATAATATTAATTAATGTAAGCGTGATAGCATATTTTGTTTATATGTAATATGAAACCTAGTGAGTAGAATTATGTCTAAAAAGCTGGCTATCTATTATTTCAACAAGACCTTTATTTCAACATTCATTCGCCGGAGTTTCGAATTATTTAAAGATAGAGCACATTCTCTATAAGACTTTTTATAAGACCCATTTTTATCGATACAAAATATGGGCTTCGAGAATAAAATTGTTTGGAAAGTATAAAATCGCGTGATTGTCCCCACACTTGCCAAAATGATAGTCAAGTGATTATTTAACTAGGATTAGGAATTATATTTGATGTGGGGTGCTCTAATTGTCCATAGAAGCCCACCAAAGTGGGGCTAAAAATCACCCGTCCGAACGGCATTTTCGGTGGTGTTCGATAATTTGCATATTTCTTCAGAATACAATGATATTTAACCAAACCAACTATACAGTTGTTCTTAGGAAACATTACCCTTCCAGACTTGAAAGTATGAGAGAAATGGAATTCTTCAAAGTTTGCCATGAATTTTGAATTTTGCTTGATTTTTACGGACAGTCAGTCTTAAGTTGTCGCGCATTGACCTTGCTTGTAGGTCAATGACGCGACTATTTAATGCTGAATTCTGCTCTTCTACTTTCGCCAATCTTTCTTTCGTCTCCGAGTCTGATTTCTTTGGCTCTGCGTTTTCTTTCTTCAGCGTTTCAACTTCAGCATATGCATATTCTAAAGATTCTTCATTACTTCCTTCAGTTCTTATTCCATCGATATCATACGGCCGTCAATAATATCTAATTTACCCAGCTTGCTCATAATCGTTTCGAACATATTTTCGACATTCATAGGCTTTTCTTCGTGTAAATTATCTCTGTCTTCTTTATTGGCATTTATGGTTTTCTTTGCTTTCTCTAGAACCGGTTTCTTGGGCGTTTTGGATCGAGTATTTGTTGAAATTTGCGCAGCGCGCTTGGAAGCATGTGATCGCGTCGCCATGTTGTAATTGTATGAATTATTAATCTATTCAACCCTGGATTAGATTAGATTACTGTCCAAGATAAGATATTACTGTTCAAACTGGAAAAATATCACACAAGTGACGGTGCACTCAAATGGTTTGAGTCGCACCTAACAAACCGTATCCAAATATGCTCCTTTTCTGGCTGTTTATCAACTCACTACTGTAGATTACTTGGGTTTACTAGATTACCAGGGTTCACTATATTACCAGGGTTAACTAGATTACCAGGGTTTACTAGACTGCCAGGTTTAACTAGGTTACTAAAGTTTACTAGATTATCAAACTCGCGCTTTGCTAAATTACAAGGAAAAACGTACTCGGAATGATAATGCCATCTTGTAAACGGAAGATATGAGTTACTTAAAGAAAACAAGACACAAATTATGGTGGTGATATTTCAAATCTATTGCAGGGTCATTGTCAAACCAAACTAAATATCTACAAGCGTATTCAGATCTTTATAAAGAGAAAGAGGAAAGACGTAATCAACTGGAAACTGAAATCATATATAGCGCCCCAAATTTCTGTCTTCCGTTTTCAGTTGATTACGTCATCTTCCTCTTTCTCCTTATAACGATCTGGGCACGTTTGTAAATAATTAGCTTAATTTGACAATGACCCTGAAATAGAGCCGAAATATCACCACCATAATTTGTGTCTGGTTTTCTTTAACTTAAATATCTTAAGTTTACATGGCTTCAGAAATTGTATTAAAAAGAGATTATAGTGAAGCTCAACTAATAGCAGATAAAATATCTGAATGGTCTAATATAAACAGAATGCAATTAAATGCATGCAAGGAGCTACATTTTCACTCCAATTACAGAAGAGAATAAATGCATAGAAATTGTAAACAACGTTAAATTGCTGGAATTAAATATTAGTTTCAACCTAATGTGGAACAATCATATCGCCGAAATTATGAAAAAGTCATAAAACTATACTTTCTTATTCAACTCAAAAGAGTAAATGTTCCAACGCAAGAACTATTCTCATTCTACGTAACTTGCATTAAATCTGTACTTGACTGTGCAGTTCCAGTCTTCCACTACAGCCTACTTAATTACTCAAGTGAAGAGTTGGAATGGGTCCAAAAACGTACACTTTTTCCCCCTCATTTAAACTATGAGGAAGCACTTTGCCGCGCAGGAATCGAAGCCCTTTTCACCCACCGCCAAACATTTGTAAGAAGTTGTTCCAGTTGATTACTACCAATAGTAATATCACACAACCTTCACCACCTGTTACCACTAAGACACAATCTTACCCATGATCTACGATTTATTGATAAATTATTTGATATTCTTTATTGCAAAACTATAAGCAGTTCTATAACAATTTACTGATTCATTATGACTTCATGTAACCAGATTTGGTAATGTTACGTATCAAACTGATCTTTTTAGAAATAGTTGTATAATCCTTAATGCATTGAATTCGTAGTATTTGTAAATAGTGTTTTCATAATATTATGTTTTGTAAATAGTAGTAGAACAATTTTAGCTTAATGAAAGAATCTGTTGAACAATTCTAACTTAATCAAAACAATTTTAGCTTATCTAAAACATTTATAAATATAGACGTAACAAGATGCTAGATTAATTATCATGTATTGCTTGGTTACTATAGGGCTTACTAGATTACGCCAGTTTACTACAGACTACCAGGGTTTACATAATTAGGATTTACTGAATTACCAGCTGGATTTACTACGTTACTGACATAGGCGTACGAGACAGGGGGCAAACTGCCCCCCCCCCCCCAATTTTGGAAAACCATGGAAATTCGGACAAATGGTGGGAAAAATCAAGAAAATTCGGGCAGATTTATCAGAAAATAGGTTAAATTCAGGTAATTTCATTACAATCCTCCATAAAAATCCGGGCAAACTTTCAACTGCCC